AGGCCAGGGCTGGATTCGAACCCACCAGCTCTCATGTATGTGGCTGGCGCCTTAGCCATTTCAGCTTCCAATTCTTGTTGTACCTTTTATTTTTAATTTTGGTTATAAAATATTATGGTCTTGCTTGAGAAAAATTTTTACAGATGCCAATTAGTGTAGGCTAAATAAGCTTATTTGTCTGAGTGCATTAACTTTTCAATGCTTAGCTTTCTGATCTCTGCTGAACAGTTTTCTTTTGTCATTCTTTATTCATTCACATTTTCATATGTGCCAGGATTTGCGCTAGGCCTAGAAGATCAAGAGAGATACAGTGTCTGTGCTGATCGAACTTTCTATAATTCAGCAGAATCTCTATAAGAGAGAATCTTGACTAGGGGTCCTTTTCATGACATGGCTCTCTAGTTGACCAAAACAAGACTTTTTACAAGAATAAGTTATTGTCAATGTTTATATGTAACTAGCATTGAAATATAAGCAGATGATTTCAGTTGAACAGCATGACTTGATGATATTGCCTTTGATCAAAAATATAGTAAACGCGCTAGTGGTTTGTTAGTTAAGAAGAGTCAATTTTTTTCTTTGCAAAGTTAGTTTAAATATAACATTCACAATGGGAAATCAGTTTCTACCTGAAAAAAAAGTCTTTATTTTTCCAGTCTTCATGTTTGTCTGATTGATCGTGTATATGTTAATGACTTGTAATCTATAAGAATCTTATGCACAGAGAGAATATTTATCAAGAACATATATGGTACTCACCAACTGAAATAAATTCATTACCTTATTAAACCCTTCCTTGGGAAGTAGTTAGCTGAAGCCTTGTTATAGTTTGATTTTGGCTCCCAAAAGTTCATATGGTGGAAACTGAACAACCAGTGCAACAGTGTTGGGAGGTGGTGCCTGATCAGAGATGATTAGCTGATGAGGACTTCTGTAGTTCTACTAAGAGCTGTTTAGTTATCTTGGGAGTGATGCAAATGAGCTGTGATGACCTAAGTCTTAAAAAAAGGGGGGGGGGGAGGCTGGGTCAAAAACTGACAGGTTAAACAGGGATCAAGGAGTAACATTGAACTTGGTGAGGTTGAAGTTATTTGTGACCTTAATAGCCATTTTTGTGTGTGTGTGTGTGTGTAGAATAGTTGAGGTAAAAGCTTCTTTGGAGTAGAGTTTTTGCTGTAAATAGGGAGCAGAAAGGTGAGGTGTTAAGTGGAGAGGTCTATGCAAGTTTTTTAATATGGGAGCCACTACAGCATGCTTCTAAGCTTTGTCAGTGATCTAGTGGAGAAGAAAATATCACTGGAAAGGAGAGAGAAGAGGCAGTTTCACTTGAGCAGTTTTTTAATTACTGAATCCCCAGGGCTTGAGTACATTTTTCTTGAATGGATTAATGAATGGGTAAATGTTTTCACTGGATGTAATTATTTTCTTTTATTAGTGCTGGATAAAAGGTAGACTAAAGAACATAGCTTAACACTTCCTTTTTCAAGTGGTTATGAGAATTGATTTGGTGATAGTGTTCTTTGATTTCTAGATTACTATTATGAAAGTTGCAGATTCCAGGTAGAAATCACTTAAACCTGGGCAAAATAGGGCCTTGAAGTTCCAAAGGAGAGGAAGCTTATGTTTACATGCAGAGATAAGAGCTGTTTCCAAGAACCTTCTAAAAACCCTCCCCTGTCCTTCTCTTGCTCAATCTTAGCACTAGATATTCTTTAGAACAGCAGTAAATTAGTAACGGCATTTCCACTAATGAACTGACTACTCTGGCTTTGAACCTCCAAAACCAATGATTTTGGTTTCTAAGCATCTTTATGTATATAAATCATTTTTTGCTACTAAAAGTTCCCCTTTATCCTTCTCTTAATAAATGCACTGGTAGCTGGCCAGATTGAACATTCCAGATTATAGAATCTAAATAATCTAGAAATAGATTAATAAATAATCTTGAAATGATAGATTATTAATATTAATTAATATTATTAACCTATTAATTCCTGGCAAATTTCTGGGCTGCAAGCCCTCAACAAAACAGAGTAAGTCTGGTTCATTCCCAAGATAGATGGGAAAGTACTCACTAACTTCTTGCTTGACTAACTCCCTTGAGAAACCGGGAAGTACCAACTATACCTAGACTGACCTTTAAGAAATGCCAGGTAGGGAAAATATTAAAACAAAGGTATGATGAAATAATCTATTCCAGATTATTTATTTCTAGTCCCTAGGAAACCCAACATGTTGATGTTTAGACGTAATTTTCTCTCCTGTCTTTTTTTAGGTTGACATCGTCTTGAGCTTTGCTCTTTCACCCTGCTGATGTGGTGTTTCCAAGCTTTGCATTTCCCCTTACGGTCTGTTGGGTGTGATGCTGCTGTAGGCCAGTTAGATCTTTTGTCTCGTGTTCTTTTTTTCCACTTAAACTTTTAAAAAGTTGGTACCTATTTTAAAAATATGGTTATTACTGTAGACTTAAAAAGACAGTAATTGTCAATAGGGCGAAGAAAGATTTTTAAAAGTTCCAAGCAGGGTTACCAAATAAAATACAAGATACAGAGTTAAATTGGAATTTCACATAAACAACAAATAATTTTGTTGTTCCACAAAGACCACACTGCCAAACAAGCCAAATTTACAGCAAAGTCTTTTTATTGAAGAGCTAGCTGGTGACTGCCTCAGTGTTCCAACATGGATTTTCTTAGAGCAGCCCCGAGTGCTTAAGAGGTCAGTTTTTAAGGCTTGTTTGCATCCTGGTTGACACACAGGCTGTCCAGGTGCATCTGGGTAGGGTAGCAAGCAAACATTGTATAGAAACAGAATTTTGTGGTTAGTTAGCTATACATCATACCTCTTTGTTTTAATATTTTCCCCACCTGGTATTTCTTTAAGGTCAGTCCAGGTATAGTTGGTGCTTCCCGGTTTCTCAAGGGAGTTAGTCAAGCAAGAAGTTAGTGAGTACTTTCCCATCTATCTTGGGAGTGAACCACACTTACTCTATTTTTTTGAGAGCTTGCAGCCCAAAAATTTGCCAGGAATTAACTGGTATTTTTCTACATTAGCCTAGGCCTAACAATTTTCGAGACTAACCACATGAGACATACTTCTGCTAAAATTATTTATTTACTTGAAATTAAGATTTAACTCTTATCTTGTATTTTCATTTGCTAAATTTGACAGTTGTAGTTTAGAAGAAGGTTTGTATGATTCTTAGTTTGAGAATAAAAATGCAAAGGTAGATTCTCAGAGTTTGAGTCTTTCTGAAAATGTAATCCTCAGTGTTGTCACACATAAATGTAACAACCCAACCAGGTTCATTGCCCATTGCTGAAGAAGAAGCCAGTGCATTGAGATAGCAGGCATTAACAGCTGAGAAAGAGTTTAATATCCTAGGCACCATGTGAGGAGAAGAGAAGAATTTCTCAAATCTGTCTCCCTGACAATTTGTGAGCCCTGGTTTTTAAAGACAGTTTGGCAGGTAAAGGGCTAGGGAATTGAGTCTGCTGATTGGATAGAGATGAACTTATAGGCTTGGGAAGCAGAAATTCTTGTGCTGAGTCAGTTTCTAGGTGGCAAGACTAGTTGAGTTGGTTCCGTGGTATGGGCCTTAGACCTGGTTAGATCAGTTGGTCTCCTGGAATACAGGGTCTGGAAGATATCTCAAAGACTAGCCTTAGGTTTCACAAGGATGATGCTTGTATGGAGCAATAAAGAAAGCTGAGAATCTTCATGACTATCAGCTATGTGACTCCTGAGTAATAAGCAATTATAGGAAAGCAAGCTAGGAAACAATGGCTGGTCTTATATATATATTATATATATATTTTATAAATATTTAAATATTTTATTAATATATATATAAACATATATGTATTATGCCTATACGTTTGCAGAGTTTGGGCCTCTGCCACACAGTTCCCTCCTTGTGGTCTTTTATTAATTTCATAAAGGGCAGTTTCATAAGTGATGATCAAAAAGGGGAGTTATGTATATATCAAGAAATTGATCTTGCTTATATCTGGTTATTTTAAGAGTATAAACTGAATATGGAAAGAAAAA